CTAAATTAAAAAGTAATGGTGATATTACGGAGCCTTGTGGCTTGCCCGTCGAGCCCATCTCAAGATCTTGTGACTCTTGGTCGACCATCACGACACTTGCGCGCCTGCTTGCAAGAAAATCACGTATGTAATTGTACATTTTTCGAGCTAGACCTAATGCCTCAACTTGTTTCAGTATCGATTGATGTTTGACGGTATCAAATGCCTTTTTATTATCCAGGCCAAGAATCGCCTTGGTGGAGCTCATAGTGTCGTCAACAATGTGGTGCTTTAGCTGAAATAGGGCATCCTGTGCGGAGAGATTGCGGCGGAATCCCAGCATGGTGTGCGGGAATGCGTCACGGTCTTCGAGAAAGTCGGTTACCCTAATGAGAACTGCGTGCTCCATGACTTTTCCTACACAGGACGTAAGGTAAATTGGCCTCAGATTATCGAGCGCCATTCGCTTGCCTGGTTTAGGTATCATGACAACTCGAGCTCTTTTTCCACGCTTCGGGAAGGGAGCCGTCTCTCCAGCACTCGTTGATGTAAGTTATCAATTGGGAGATTGACTCATCATCCAAGTTTCAGAGAGCCTTGTTGGTAACCCTGTCTGGTCCTGGAGCCGACCGGAAGTTGTGTTTGAAAAGGACTGCCCGAATTTCTGCCTCGCTAAAGTCCGCGTCTAATTTATCATTAGCAACTCCATCGTAATCAGGGTGTTGGGCGCTGTTTTCCGTCTTAAAGTAACGGTCTCGTATTGCGGCGAGGATATTCGCACCTTCATAATCTTTAACAAGTCTGCGAGTTTTATGGCCTTGGGGGACCCGATTCTCCTCCGGATCCAACAGATGCCGAAAGAGACGCCAAGCACCCGCCCCACGCATCTGCTTCTCCAAGCCATTACACATGTCTTCCCACTGTGCCATACATACTTTGAACGCGTGTTCCTCGATCTGTCTGTCTAACTGTGCCATGCGTTTTTGCAATGCCCGGTTGTGTCTATGGCGTTTCCACCTTTTAAGTAGGGCTTGCTTTTCTTCCCACATATGTTGCAGCAGGCTGTCGATTACTTCAAGCTTCGCCTCGGGCGGAATGTCATACGTTGCCGCATCTACGTCCCTATTGAGCGTCGCAGTCCATTCGTTTATATTCGTGATCGGCTCGTCGCTGCGCCCTCCTTCTTCTCGTTTCTTCCGGAATGTGTCCCACTTTACTAGTTTAAGTTTACGGCCGTTGCCTGTTGAGCATGCTCCACGATCACTCAGGCCCGTGTCAATTATAATCTCTATAAGCGAGTGGTCACTCCCTAAGTCCTCTTGGATGTTTTGCCAAGATGCTGCGGTTACATTCAATACGAACGCAAGGTCTAGCAGCGCGTCTGCACTCACGCTATTGCCCCTGCGAGTTGGATTGGCGGGGTTCGCGACAAGTTCAAGGCGTAGGTCTTGCGAGTCTTCCCAAAGGTGTTTGCCTTTAGGCGTTTCACGCATGTATCCTCAGGCCCCATGCGGCGCATTAAAATCACCTGCGACTAGCGGAGGTTCCCCGTTGGCGGCCGTGCTAGCCATCCGGAGCAGCTCCCCAAACCGGTGCTGCAACGTGGGTTTACTGTATACGTTAAAGACAAACAGTCCTCGCCCCCGCCTAGGAATCAATTCTACGAAAAGGTGTGGTATATTTGCACACTTAAGTTCACGCTGCGCCACTGTGACGTTACGTCTAACAAGCACGGCGACGACCGGTGCCGGAGGCGGCGAGCGCGACTGTGGTGACGGCGGGTGCACCGACGACGTGAGCGGAACGCCCTGCCGGCGGCGGCGCGCGGCCACCCCCGGGGACTCGCCATGTGCCAAGCGGGATGTCACCCGTTGTTTTCTCTGTCTGCCGTCAGTCGCTGCCGCGTTTATGGCTTTGTACCCAGCAAGTTTTGCCGGATAATTTGTCTCCTGTAAAATGATAACATCAGGTTTCGTTGCGCGGCCGCGAATATATTGCTCTAGATTGCCTGGGTTCCTCCTATAACCCCAGCAGTTCCACTGCCAGATCTTATACTGTTGTTGGCTAGTGTTAGTGCGATTATGTGCGTGTCCAGCCATGGTGACAGTCACATTTAATTTAACCCATCGCCATCAAGGCGACTTGGGTTCGGCTAAATTGGTGTCTCTGCGTCTGTCAGCGTGTTTTGCTGTTGTTGATGCGGTTGCTGTCTAGCGTACGGCTTGTTTATCGTTCTAATCGGTCTGCCCCCAGCTAGCGGCAGTCGGGCTTCTATGTTTTCTATGCATGCCACATGCGCGGTGAGCATTTGAGCCATTTGCTCAGACAGTTTAGTTATCGCACTGTTTAACATGTCATTCATCTGTGCCACATGGTTTGCAAAACGCTCATCAAGGCTGTTTTCTATAATATCGATGCGTTTTTGTAGTTGCTCATATCGTTCACTTTGCCGGGGGGGTTGTTCGGGTCTCGCAGGATCTAGTGCAATTCTTTTCGCGGTACACGGGTGGTCGTCTCGGTCGTGTGCCTCTTCCCCTGAACTGCTCTTATCGTTCGTGTCCATCTCCGCCACCTCGGGTCGCGTGGAAGTTGAGGACCTAAGCGACGAAAGTGGCAGCGACGTCACCTGTTGCTGCGAAGGTTGCGATTGTGGAGCCTCGCCTTTTAACATGGAATTTTCCGCTTTGAGGATAGCGTTTTTGCGTTTAAGCTCAGAAATTATCGATTGTAACGGTCCTAGGGGTTGTTCTAGCGCTGGCTCTATTGCTTGCTTAAGCTCGCTCCCACCACCGCCACCGACGGCGGGACCAAGAGAACGATCCGCGGAAGCGACGCCACCGACGGGAAAAGAGGCGACACCCGCCCATCTCACCTGTTGCCCAGTGTTCATGTGCCCTTGTTGCGGCTGCCGCCGCATCCGGTGCTGCAGACTTTGTGTGCCTTGGTTAAAGGCTGCAGTGCCTGGATCGGCACCACCACGTGTCTTCAACGTGCTTCTCGGCGTCGGTGTGCGGCTGCGAGAACGGGACCAGCGTTTCCCCCTGCCGGCTGTCACGTCTCGGCTTGTCGAACGTCTCGTTGGGCTGGCGTTGCATGAATTATTGTCAAACGATGGATAATGATCGTAGTGGTATGCGCTGCAGTTGTATGTGCTGCCGTACACCTCGGCCGCTTCCTCTTCTTCTCGTCGTCTTCGCTCTAGTTGGCGACGCTTGACAATGTACGGAGTCTTGTATCTCGCTTTGCAGCTGCGGTCTTCTGTGAGGTGGCCTTTGCCGCACAGTTGACACCGTGGCTCACATCGATGGTCAGACGGCGGGTTGTTGCTGCCACAGCCCCGGCATATCTTGTCCTGCGGGTTGGTGCACACGTCAGAGCGATGTTTCAGCCTGCCACACTCGTAGCACACGTCGATGTGCTTCTGTACAGGGAGCATCTGACAAGCATAGGTCCATAGTAAACGTGTCTGGGTACGTGGAAGCCGTTGAACAATATGATTATGTTGTCCGTGGTGCCCATGCGCTTAATGTGCAGCACTCCGGGGTTGTGCTGCGTCACTAAGTTATTAACAATGTCCACCGGGCTCTCATCCTTGGAAATGTTCCTAATCAGGCCTTTTGAAGTGTTTTCTGGGGCGGCTTGATAAGCATTAGCAGCGAACTCTTTGCCACCGATGCAAAGCTTGCTGATGGCTTCGTAGCGTGTGGCTCTATCTGCTGACGGTGTGCTGAGTACAACGACGTTTTGCATCACATTGAGGCAGATGCTATCTTCTCTAACTGCTTCTCTGCCAATACCCACCATGTTACGTAGGCAGCAAGAAGGGCGATCCATTCCATATTCGGCCCCGTTGAAGCCATCTCTAGGGCGTACGATGATCTTGAAATCATCGGGTGGTAGCTCTGGCATTTGACTCGCCTTAGCGAGGTGCCGCAATTGACGGGCACACCTTTTCTTGTAATACGCAGCCGTGGCCGCAGCTGGGGCTATTCCTGTAGTCGATGCGGCAGCCGTCGCTTGCTGCATTTTCGGCTGCTGCTTTTGTGCCGACTTGGACGCGCCATCGGCCTGTTTTGTTTTCCGGACGCTGCACCATCCTGCTCCCTCGCCGAAATCTTCCGGCTGAATCTCTTCTCCATCTACCACGACAACATCCATTTATCTCTTGGAAAGGCCTGGTGCGTTTTCGTAGGAAATCTGGAGCTCCGAGGAGGTCCGGCGACACTTCAGGCTGGCTAGTCCTACCGCCGCAGCGGCCGGGCTATGGCACAGTACGTAGAGACGCTGAACTTGGCGTTCGTGCCAGGGTAGCGGAGGAAAAAGCTCCGATAAGCGGCCAAAAAGGGGGCCCACCTGGCAAACTTGGTGATAGAGGAGTCCTTGAAACTTCCGCTGATCGATGGCGAGAATGGTTTCCACGAGGAGTCAGACAAACGACCAAAAACATAGGAAAGTTACGGAGCCGACGCGAAACACATCTGCACTCCGTGGCCCCCTAGCGGTGTCTCCTTTTTTCTTCGAACGGACTTTTTTATGCGTACTGTGCCAAAATGTGTCACAGTTCTGTGTGTTGCTGTAGTCAAGCGTTGCACACACTAGGTGGTGATAGCTTCACCTGACAGCTCGTCCTTTTTAGAGCTCTCTCAAACGAAAACTGAGACTGGTCGGTAATGAGGAGCCTAGAAATAATTGTTTGTAACACCCTGCAGCAAATGATGGGCCGTGTTAACCCCGCAACACATTGCAGCTGAAAAACACTAAGCCTAAATTTTTCTCCTGGTGACTCTTTAATATTGGCACGATGTGCTTTCTTTAGGCATAGAGTAAAATGTAGGGTAATAAGTGAAGCTGTATAGGTTAAAGTACTGTGATTTTGCCAGTGATGTCGGGTATTTTTCTAAAATTGGCTGGCAACACTGATGTGGGCCTGTCATACAAATATATACGCACTCTTTCAGTGTCTTGAGATGATGTTGCGTCTTCTTTGAATGAGCGTTACTCACTGTCATCGTATTATCTAGGTTTGGCTTTGGCCTTCCCACATCTCGAGCGTATGCTGAGTACCTTGGTGGGACCCTTACGTTTGAGACTCTCCAGGGCATTGGCACCGACGTTTACCTGCGCCTGCGGCACATCGATGGCAAATGTGAGAGCTTCCGCATCTGAGCCATCTCCTCTGCCAGTCACCACTGCTGTTCTCTCATGGGCTGCCTCTAGTTCTGCACTGACTTGTAGTGCTTCTGTTCATGCTACTTGCTTGCTGCAGGGGAAAAAAAGAGCAGTGGACTGTTCTCAATGCCTGAAAACTTACTCAACTATATGTCTTGCTGAATGAGGTTTATTTGTTTCATCTGGTTTTCTGAGAATTGTGTGCTAATTATATAGGGCCTTGTCACAGTTTTTTCGTTGAAAAGATTTATTGCACTCAGTCGGCCACAGCTTTCTTTTTCTTCTTATCCAAGAGGGCCAGGTATCGCGCAAGTGTGTTATTTCAAAATTATTACTGAAATGAGGATTTAAAGTTCAAGCAGTGTTATTTTATTCATTATGCCCCCTTCTTGTAAGCATGGACAGTAATAAAAGTGCATTTGGATGAAAGGTGCCGATGCAGTATCATTGCTTTTAAATCAGCAAAATTTCGCTCTTACAGTAGTGTTTTGTGATGTCTTCTTGTTTGTATTGTTAGACTTGACTTGCAATGCGGTGCATGCCTAATTTGTATAGATATTTTGGGCTCATTAGTGCTTAGAGGGACACTAAAATGAAGTGGAGAAATGGTTTACATTGACAAATTGTACTTTGAAAGCTCAAGTGACAATAATTGCTGTGTTATAGGTTTATTAATGGAGGAGAAAATTGAGGTCAAAGTATAATTTACAGACTTCATGCAAAAGTCTCTGCCCATGGTGTCAGGGATTTCGAAGTGTTTTTTTATATTTCTGTGACATTGGCTGAACAAAATTTTCTGAAACGTGGTCTATGGTTCTCTGAGAGGACAGTGTACAGTAGGCTCATAAAAGAGAGCCTATAGGAACCTGGAAAAACTGTTCTGTTTAAAAGAGGAGTTCTGTTCACTAAGAGATAAATAAAGGTGTAGAATCCAAGTATAAAACCAATTGTGCTGGAGGCAGCTGTTCCATTTAAGCAGCAGCTGCGGTACCAGGTGTCCTCTCATGGTAACAACGGTCATTTGATCTTGTCGAAAGGTAGTTCACTAATTACAAATCGTTATTCTGCATAGTGTCTTTCGAAAGGCCTCTGTGCCTTTTATGTTGGTTCAGTGTTTTGTAGTGATGCATTATGCACTGCAATGCCTTAGCGTTTTTTGTAGTGGCAATAAACTTGGGTGGCCAACAGGTTCAGCCAGCTGTGAGTGGTGGATCCAGCATAGAACAAAGCATGCTTGCCCATTTCAGGATTTGGAAGATTCCTAGACTAGGGTTAAAAAAAGCAAGCTTGCACATCTTTTTATGTGTTTTTCAAGGCCCCAGTAACGTCACAGCGAGCTCTCAATGATAGCCAAGGAAGCTTTTATAAATTTGTAACTTTATTACACAGGCAGGCATGTATAATGGAGGGGAGGAATGTGCTGTGTCTCGTGACAGCTCGTGGTGCCTTCTCAATTTGGATGCGACGCTGTTGTACAGCAGTGTAGCTGGACTAAATATTACTCTGCAGCAAAACTAACATGAGCTTTTCTGTGTATGGCTGTTCAGTTGTGCAAGCGCACTGTTTTATGATCTTCAGTGACTGAAGGAGCAGCACTGTGATGCAGAGAGACATTGTTTCTGTTTTTGAGGTGCTCATCAGATCACAAAAGCCACCGGTGAACATGTTCGATGCCTCCCACCAGTCAATGGAGAGGGTCATCTGGCACACCTGGAAAGCTGTTGGCATTTGTCTGGGACTGAAAGCTTTCAAACCCCTGTCATTTAAAGTTGTTCTCACATTCTTTTTAAATTCAGCTGCCCTTTGTTGGAGACTTCGTTAGAAATGTTTGTTAGAGACTTCAGCACATAATGATGGAATGAAGTTGCAAAAAAATTTTTTGTAGGCATGTGCTTTGTGTTCATGCATCTGCCCACACACTTCTTGGCACTTAATTCACTTATATGGCAAAGAGACACAGAAGAAATTGTCGCTCGTGAGCGCAGTTTTTGGGCATTTGTACTTGATGCAAGCTGCACATTGTCTCTCTTCTCTGTGTCCATGCATTTGTGTGCAGACGCCATGTTTTAATGGCGTACTGATGAATGCTGAGGAGGCCATGCTTGGTTGTAAGCACGGTGCTCTGTCTTCCTCTGCTCAGCTGCGAGTGTCACACGTGATGGCCACGTAGGTATAGACTGTGTCTCGGATGTAGTGCGGGTGAGTGCCAGAGCTAGGAGGGTGCCCCCTAAAGGTTTTGGATGTTTATAGCCCCAAGGTTTGATCCCCCCTTTAAGCACTTATGCCCTGTCACTACATGCTTTCTTGGAAACATTTCGGTGCGCCCACAGTGGACGCAAAAATGGAAGGTGAGAAGACGACTCGCCCAACTTTCCATACTACTACTAGATGCACTATTTAGGGTCACCAAAATCTGTCTAGGTACGGCATCAGTGTCTTGTGCCTTGCCCTAAATGTCATGCACGAAGGGCTTATTCACCAGTGAATTATGCAACATGGTGGTCAGTCAACCTGTGTTGAAATGCACAAGTCGGGCCTTTTGTGTAGTCGACTGGGTTGAGCAGTTGCTTTCACATTTCTTTTGGCCCCTCCGCTGCTCAAGAGGAAGTTACCACGCATAGCATATTTTTTGACTTGGGTTGTAATTTTCAGTGTAAAGAAAATTTTGCTAGGGTCATTGCTAGGGTCATTTAATGTTGTGTAAATGCTTGTATGCTGTGGAATCATGTGGGTGTGAAGTGTGTAGCTTAGGTGGTGCAATAAATTGTCCAATTGTTGCTTTCAATTAATTGTTTTTGGATCACTGTTGGTGCTCACATTTGTACCATGCAAACAAAGTACCGGTACAATACTTTTCACATTGTTTTATTACAGATTGCAGTAGATATAAAATAACTTTTTTTTTAATGATAAAATCGGGGACTATCCATGACATGTGTGACGTGGTAAAATTGCTGGCAAAACACAGTGCAACTTTGAACACGAATAGGGATGGGCAGATAGTGGATTTGATGTTTGAAGCGAATAATAATTTGGTTAAATAATTTCAAATCGAATAGTTCCAATAGTCTACTTTGTATATTATAAAGAAAAATGGGCATTTTTATCCTGGCCCAACTAATTTACATAATTTTTTAAACAATTAGAACTCGTGTAGGCACAGCATCTTGTAAAATTGAAAATTAACAGTTGAATCTTATTCACAAATCTCACATTTCTTTTCCCACAAGTTTTCATGCAAAAACACCAGCTGTTCCACATGGTCTGGGAGCAGCAGTTCCCGCCGGCTGCTGACAATGTTCTCTGCTGTTTAAAACAGCCTCTCACTCCTTGCCTGTGTGGCAGGAATCAAGAGGTACTTTTGTGCCACCTTGGCCAGTGCTGGGTACAGTCTGCTACCATGGGTGTTAGTTCCACCACTCTTCTGACTGGCGAAGCACAGGGGAAGTATTCTGTCACTTGAAAAGGGACACTTTCGTGCATGTTGTCTTGTAGTACATTGGAGGTTAATCAAGAAAATACACTCCAAAGAGTGTTAGGTGGAGGCTTCTCCATGGCTGGGCCAACAGGTTCCCAGGCACAGTCATTTTGGGCTGGCATTAGCTCATTTGCTGCAGCTGCAAGTGTGGCTTTTAACCACTTTTTTTTACTGTCTTCAGTGTAGCAAATGTCTTTGTAGCGAGGGTCAACTAGCATCGCATTTGCCCGAACATTTGCCATTTTCAAGTCGGGGAAAACTAGTGGCAAGACTGCATAGAAGGCTCCTCGCAAACGATGCTGTTTCCTCGCCTTCAGACACGTGCTTATGTAGCACCTCTTGTTTGCAATACATGAGGGGTATCACTTGGGAAAGTGTCGGATAGTGGTCCGCACACAGCTCTGTCGTGGCTTGATCCAGAGGCAGCAACATTTTTACGGCCGCAGCCATTAATTTTCATTCTCTGAAGCTTAAGTTGTCCACATCAGAATCGCAAAGTTCAACTGAAATCGGGGCACGAAGTTCCACGAGTCTCTCCATCATTGCGTACTCACTGTTCCAGCGTGTGGGAACGTCTTGAATTACTTCATGCTGGGCCATGTGCATATCCCTTTGAATGTTCATAAGCCGTGCACGCGCGCTTCTTTTGTAGCAACCTGCAATCAATCAGCACTTCGCACAAAGTTGGGAAAAACTTGCCAGTTCTTTACTAACGTCATTTATGCGCAGCTGCAGGATATGAGCAAAGCAGAGAAGTCCTGACCAGTTGGGTTTGGCAACGGCTGAAACGAAGTTCCTGCCATTGTCGGTAATGACAAAAGTCGGAATGTTGCCGGGCAGATCCCACTCTTCGATCACGTATCGGAGCAACTGAACTATGTTTTCTGCAGTATGCTCCTGCGGCATTGGTTCGCAGGCGAGGGCGTATGCGGGCTGCATAAAGTCAGAATCCATCATGTGGGCTGTAACACACGTAGCTGTCGCCAGCCCTCGATGTCCACCCATCCGTTAATGTGAAGCACTCAGCACCACCGTCCTCGAATACAGCCCTAACGTGCTTCTTCAGTTCATCTCTTTTGGCTGCATACACATTTGGAATGACTGTTCATGAAGAGGTCTTCCACGAAAGAACGACGTATTCCGGAATCGCACAGTGCATCATCTCAATGAAGCTTTGTTCCTCAACTACGCTGTACGGCTGCAGGCCTTGGGCAATGAATGATGCGGTTTTCTTCCGTCTTCTCTTGTGGTTTCGCCGATGACGGCTGAAGTGTCGGCTTAAACAAACTGGTCACAGTCGAGTGAGATGACAGCCCCTAGGGTTCACTTTTCTTTAAGGAAAAGGCACTTTAAGGAAAAATTTCTATATCCGATTCGTGCACGCGCACTTACTAAACATGGGCGCATTCGACGCCATCTTCAACTGTAGAGGCAGCGGTTACCAAGGACAAGTCAACACGTGTAAACGCTGTTGAAGCTCAAGGAACACAGATGAATTTGCGGGTGTATGGCAGCCAAAGAAGGGCCCTGACATCATACTTGTGAATCCGTCACATGATGATGATGATGTCTGTGGACCAGGGCGAATCTATGGCAAGAACACCCGATTGTATGCCCAATCGCAATAAAGAGGATTTAGATCGCAAACACCCGCACCGCCTTCAAGCGAAGGAGCAGATAAACACTTCACCCTTTCCACTGCGCAGTTAGTGAGCGGATGCGCCCTTAGAGAATCGCGAAACTCTTGCAGTCTTTTATTTTATTTTATTATCATTATTTTATGCCATGAAAGCGATTCTGCAAACACCGGCGGCGGCACATTTTATTCACGTATGCTGCTTCTTCTGCGTGCTCAGTGCTATGCTCAGCTGTATCGCATGCACTGTCAAAAGTACCTGGTGTCACTTTTCACGTAGGTCGCTTTATTGAGAATCACTAACGTCACAAGGTTCTGTTTGGCGTTGCATAAGTCTTTGCCAGACTTTGGGGGACAGTGTTGCCGGACTGTCGCTGAATCTGGCAGCTATGTTTTTTCATACAGCTTAAGCTTCCCTGTAATGTTTTGCCATTGGCTCTTGCTGTTTTTCAAGTGTACGGGGAGTGTCCGTGTCACTACAGTGCCAGTTACCTACATGCCATTTCAGGGTTTTCAGTATTTTTCTAGTGTTCGGGCTGTTTCTGTGGCACTTGGCCGCTAGCAACCTATGTGCCATTTCGGGGTTGTCAGTATTTTGCCAGTGTCTGTGGTAAGCACGAGTCACCTGGGTCTCTGCACAGCTATGGACAAGTACGCACTGTTATAGAGGTATTCATACTTTGGCGGCAACGATGCATGCTGCCCACGCTGTGTGCGGAGCGACGCCGTTCAGTTCCCCCAGTAAATCCGTCATTGCATGTGGGTTCCCTACTACGAGTCCGAATTCCCAAATTTCCTGCTTCCGAGACACGAGTCTGATCTGTTAATATTAGAGTGGAACGTATAGCGAAAACAGGGGGCTCACACTTCTGCAACACATACGTGCTGCTAAGTAAAACTACCATGTCAACAGACTGCACAGACACAATGAATGACTCGGGAATCATACGGGAAAGCTGGAACTGCCTAGGCAAATACCCCTGAGTCTGGCAACCGACTTATGCAACGCCAAACAGAACCTTGCCCACTAATGCATGGCATTTGCATGCGAAGCTCTCGGCTCTACGTTCTGGTGGTTTTTACTCATTGTATCAACTGGGAACACACGAATTTATGATTTTGGCGTCATTAGCATCATATCGCGTTTTCAGAGGTTGTGCCAATAATACGGAAGAAAAGTAAAGTTTCGTTGCTCTTATCGGACTACGTGTCTACGTATTGTGTGGTGTGCGCTCGCTGCATGCTCATTTTTTGTGCGCACTGGATTTACAAACCCTTTGTGTACAATTGCATATACAATGCAGTGGTGTCTTCTTTTCGACGTGAAGTTACGTGACTTTTGCGATCTATTCGAAAGCGCTGAGTAATTCGGAAATATCGAATACCTGAATTCGTATGAAAGAAAATAACGAATAGGGTAGAATTCGATCGAATATTTGCACCATCAAATATTCTGCCATTTTTAAACACAATGCAGGCTGTTTTCTTTTACTAAAACTAGGGCTGGTGGAGAAGCAGGGCTGGTTCTAAAAACCTACATTGGTGACACCGAATTTCGAGGTTATGAAAAGGCTTCTGTAGGCTTACTCTGTATGCAATGACACTCGACCAGCACATAGTATTGGAGACTGGGAACGTTTAGGATATATTTTAATTTCCTTCCAAAGTGTAACTAAATGCTAGGTTCCGCGATCGAGACTCGTCGCTAGCAATACTGATATCGATGTCACTGTGTAGGAAGCTTATCAAAAAATTTAATGATGTCAAACCATATTGTAGTGACATGCAAGAAGCGGTGATCCACAGCTCTTCTGTGCTGGGCAAGTCAAGAGAGCATCGCTTGCGAACCTACAATAGTTTTTTTCTCAACGTGTTGCCAAAGCCAAAGCAGCTAAGCGTTCTTTATATTGAAAAGGGCTCGGCATCGTTACGCTAAGTTGTGAAGGCAACCTTGAAGAAGATTTGTTCATCAGCACACTTCTTTCCTTTAGCATATCATTTACAATACACCGGATAGTTGGGGCCACCTGTATGGGCTAAGGTAAACCAGGGAAGCAAGCACAAAATTGTCGCAGAAATCTTCTCTGCTGGTGTGAATTCGCAGCCACGTTGGTCCAGATGCATGGCCTTTCAAGCATTTTGTTGCTGCGGTCACTGAACAGAAGCGAAGCAACGCACCAGTAATTGCTGTACTGAGTATCACAAGGTGTCGATACTGAGTGAGAAGCAGCGCTAAGAAGGCAGGACAAGAAAGGACATGGCATTACCAGGGTGCTTACTAACAATCAAATGCATTCATTCCTTCAGAATTCTCAGATGTTTCCTTTATGCACTGAGCTTCAAAAGAACCTTCTTCTTTTTTCTTCTGCCCACTCGAAGATTGTAAAATTTGTAAAATGCAGTGTTGCAAAAGAGTGCATCAAAACGGTGCTAGACAGGTGTTGTGACCATCAAGTTGAAGAAGGTCTTCTTTCACTAGTAGCTCACTCAATGCTTGCAGGTTTTCCAGCAATGCTTTTGACTAGCATTGCTGAAAGCCTAGTAGCAGGCTTTAAAAACAAGTACTCAGCTGCTGTACGATCCGAAACAAACTCGTTCCTTATGTGCACAAGGTGGTACACCATCTCAAGAAGGTTGTCGGCAGGGCAGGCATTAAAGTGATGCCTTTCGG